TTTTTTTTCGATTTTTTTTGGTTGGTAATTGAAACAAATTCTAAGAATTATTGTAAAAAAATATTTCCCTTTAAATGAAAATTTTCATGTAAAATAAAGTCAAACAAACACCAAAAAATAGATGATTTTCTTGAAATTTTTGTTTTGTGTGTGTGTGTGTATTTTTTTTTGGGCAATGGAAACAAATTTCATCTCTAATACCAATAAAATTTATCCCTTTAATTCACAATTTTCTTGTAAAACAAAGCCAAATAGAGATCAAAAAATACTTTTATTTCAACATTTTTCACATGAAAAATTATCCCAATCAAATATAATAATTTACAATTCTCAGGAAAATAATTTTTTGGCAATTCAATTTCGTGGAATTCGTTTTCAGTTCAATTCAATTCCATCTTTGCAATCAAACGGACCCTTAAAAAAAGATTTTTAATTCATGTATGCATGTAGATGTCCAATCAACTACCAATTTAAGCCATTATTACTTAAATTATTGTTTAAGTCCTCCATCTTTCAAAATAATGCAATTCAATCCTTGAGCCTTTTATTCTTGCAACACATTTATTCTTTGATTCAATTCAAGTCATTCACTTTCCAAAATATGGAATTTGATCTCCAAATTCTTCAATCTTCGATTCACGGTCCGAATCAACTATTGAATTTTTATAACGTAGTCCCCAACTTTTGGATTTCACTCTTTTTTGCTTCATTCCTTCAATTCCTTTTCCTTTATAAAATTTCATCTATTAAACATAAAAGACAAAAATTTAAGATAAAATGTCAAAAGAATAATCAAATATCGCTATTTTAAGGTACCGAATAAGTGTATAAAATACACTTATCAATATACACCATTATGTACAATAATTATGTATAAGTAGAATTTTCCGAAAAAATATTGGATAATCATTCAAGGCACGACATTTTTGCCATTCTTATTGGGAAGTCAAAAAAAATACAGGAACCTGGAGAAAAAAATATTGGATAATCATTCAAGGCATGGCATTTTTGCCATTCTTATTGGGAAGTCAAATATAAGGCATCCAAAATTTCTCCAACAATGCAACCCTTCTAACGGCTGATGAATCCATGGGCAGGCAAGAGATAATCTGTTGAAAGTTTTAGTAGCAAGAATAAAAGAAAAGGCAAAATCTATTCCAATAGAAATATCAATAAACGAAATGGGAGCAATTTAAACCATGAAAACAAGGTTGAGAGAGAGCAATATAGGTGGCATGCTATTAGGTGAAGTAGAAAGAATGTTGAATCCGCAAGTTCACACTTTGGAGGTCAACTGTCCTTGTCCTAGATGGCGAAAATCACTTTATATTCAATTTGTATATTTTTTTAATAAAATGAAGATAATAGCACTTTTATGGTTCCTATTTCCAATTAATTGACTTCGTCACTGGATCTGCATTTGAGGAAGGCAAAGTGATTATGTCAAAAAAATGGAGGATGGTTTGAGCATTTGGAATGCACGTAAATAATGTAAGTAAAGTTCAGCTGTGTTGATGAAGAGGTAATCAATGTGGCCACAGGAAAATGGTATCTGGTGATAGATGGTATTATGGTCGGCAAAAGTGATAATAATATAATTTCTTATAACATGTTATAATGTGCTGAAAAGCATGGAAAGATGCACCGAACAAACATAATATGCTCACAAAATTCCCGAACATTTTAAACCAAATACAATATCAATCAATGTTGCTGCAAATAGTTATGAATTTCTCTCCACAATTCAAATACAAGCATGAAGAGCTGGTTCAAAAATCAATATCCCTGACACGGATCAATCTTCAAACATAACTATTTACTTACAGTTTTTGTCATCTAGTAGTTTATACTACACAGGACCAGTGAAAGAGGTTGTATTCTATGGGTTGACAAAATTCTGTGAACTAATTACTTCAGTCTAGAGTCTCCCCAAGGTATTTCCCTGGTAAATAAATCAATTTATGAAATATGAACAATGATCACAAAATTTAATGTATATGAAAGCATGAACTTCTGAGATTGAGATTGCCAAAACATCTATCGTTGCACATGAATTGAAAACCCTTGGTATTACTTGTCTGGGATAGCACACCAGGGACGGATCCAGGATTGGATCCACGACCGGGCTACAAAATTTCAAACCAGGCTACTACATGGAAAAAAAAATTTTTACACATAAAAAACTGATTTTTTACCCCAAAAAAATAAAAAATACCTTAAAAAAAACTCTTGGACCTGAGGGGGGTGGGCTACAGCCCAGCCCCCCTGTATCCGTCTCTGTAGCACACTTGTCTGTGATTTTATTTCAGGATGCATCGTCTAGCGTGTGTGGAGGAAAAGAAACAGCCGCTGTTTTGATGATCATACACGGACAATTGAGCAAATTAAAGAATTGTTTTATATGACATTATATACTTGATTTAATGCTATGGCTTTTACTCGTATAGACGGATTGTCTAATTTTAAGATGTTTCTTTCTTATATTAATTGATAATACATCGCCTGTGTATTATCCATGATTAATAAAATATTTGATTACTTATCGAAAAATCAACCGTATTGTCAACTTTAATATATCTTTACTATATAAAAGATTAGAAAAACGTTATCTTAACTATAATGATCTCAATATTATTTAATAATTCCTGATTTGTTGTTGACTCTTTAATCTAGTCCATGTTTGATTTGGCTAAAAATCAATTTTAAGAGTTTTTTATGAAATGTGTGACTATAAATTTGATAAAAGTTGAAGGTATCATAAAATGTATAATTGAAAATAAATTTAAATAATAATAAGTTTTACAAAATTGGGACAAGGGCGAATTTACGTGGTGTCATGCGGGGCCAGCTGACCGGGCTGACCCTCCAATTTATTATTATTATTATTATTATTATTATTATTATTATTTGTGTTCTTAAAATTTTTATTTATTTTTTCTTCCTTTTTCTTTTTGTAGAGTAGGGTTATTTCATAATTAATCTAAAGGTAACATACGAGTTGTGATCTATGAACTATTACTCGTCACCAATAACATGTGAAATGTGATCTGTGAATTTGAATCCATGACATGTTATCAGTGCACAAAAACATGTGGCATCTGATATGTGACTAGTTAATTTTGGTCTACTTGTGACCTGTGACATACAAATACGATTTGTGATAAATTATTTTTGATCAGTGATATGTGGACATTTATCTATGATCTATACACAATTGTGACTTAATATATGTGACTTGTGATCTATCACCACCACTGAAACCACTAATAGATATCAACACAGCATTTGATATACACTATGAACATATGATCACCGTCACTACCGCCACCACCACGACCTAAAAATCACCACAAATCACTGCAAAACCACAACAAAAATCACCACAAACCACTGCAAAACACTACAAAATAGACGCTTCCGATGACTTGAGGTTCATCGTCATAGTGATGCTTGCGGCAAACCTATCGCAACGCACAATGACGAACTAAATGTCGTGGGTCAGATTACCGATGTTCTAAGAATTACTGTGCGCAATCTAAGCGCCATTGTCGCCTAAGAGGCGATGATTTGAGGGTTGCTGTGCGTAGTTCTTAGTGAGCTACTACTCCAGCACTCTAATGAAGAAAGATAAAAAAAAAAAAAAAAAAAAAAAAAAAAAAAAAGGGCAAAAAAAAAAACCAGATAGTAGAGAGAGAATGGAGAAGATAGAGACAGAGGGAAGGAGAGAATGAAAATGGGTCCAGAGTGAATTGGAGTTGAGGTGGGGTGTAATGGGGTGGCGACATCTGGGTGGATTAATTAATTTTATATTATTATTATTATTAATAATTATTGAATTATCACCTGATTTATGAATAAGTAAGCCATAAATCTAATTTTTGAAGTACAATCTTTAAAAATTTGTCCCTCTCTCTCAACCTTAAATGAAAATAAAATGTGGTGCAAGAAATAAAAATTGTAGTGTGAATATGATTACCTTTTAAAGAATTAACATTTTCGTTCATCATGTTATAGAAATTGTTAATTTTGAGCTGAAGAAATCAAGAAAAATTTTAGTACCCTCATGTGCAATATTTACGGTAATGTATTGGATTGTATTTATTAGTATTATGTAGTTCAATAAAAAATAATACTAAAAATAATAACTTTATTTTTTGGCCCCGTAATAAAGAAGGTAGAGGGACTTTATTATTATTTTTGCGGTCAAAAAAAATGTTAATTAATGATAATTTTGCTGGGTAATCCCTTCAATTTCCAATGCCGGGTTGAATTGGGATGGCAGAGAAAGAGGATACATGCTTTGCTGCGGCAGTTCTTTAATATGAGTTTGATCGTGATTCGTGCCCCAGACAGCTTCGAGGGTGAAACATTGGATTTGAAAATCGAGGCCTCTTTCGGAGAAAATTATTTGGAGTAGAAAGCACACCATGCAGTTTGATTTGGAGGAGTATAATTTTGATTTTACAAATGACAGTGGGTAAAATAAATGACGCCTTAAGCAGAATAACCATTGTTGAATTATTTCTTCCTTGAAATGATTGGTCTCCACAGTCAGATGCTTGAAAGTTCAAAGAGAGAGAATTATGCCGTCACTGGAACTACTAATTTCTGTAAAGACGACAGTGCCATGGAAGTTGTGTAGTGTAGTTTATTGGTGTTGTCTACTCAATTTATGCGTATAGTTTGTCTTGTTTTCTTTACTTTCAGATTTCTATCTCGAAATCTTTTCTCTGCGTTCACATCCTCAGGTATTTAAGTATATATTTTCAATCAAGCCTTCTTGGAACCTACATGCTCTTTCTAATGCACGAATGAAATCAAAGTTCCTGTAAAGGGTATATGAAATCAAATTCAACTCACTGAGAACCACTTTGTCAATAGCAAACATGGAAACACAAGAACCGCTGAAATCTTTGTTTTTACAGGATTTGAATATTCATTTCGACCATTTTTAGTACCAAACCTCTCCCGGATAACATCAAAAATCTTCAGGTAAAGAATGGAATTTTAAGAGGAATAATCTTGTTTCAGATCTGTTTAAAGGACTGCCGTATGAAAGATTTTTCTCCAGGCAAGTCATTGCATGATTGAGGATCAAATACCTTAGTTATATTTTACACTGATTTCAATCTACTGATAATATTGCAAACATGTTTCTCTAGTTTTTAAACCACTGTCTAGTACTTTGTTTCGGCACCAGTGTCTAGCAGTTACACATTCTACGACATGATGTTTGTAGCTAAAAGAATTGGTGTATGCAAGGTGAAACAGACTTCTAAGGATCACAGTTTGATTGGGAAAGCCTTGAGAGGAACTGCCTTCTGTATTGAAAGCCCAAATTTCTCACTTACGTCGACTTCTTCGGGTTTCATTCCTTTTTCCAGTTTCCAGTCGAAGTTGTGAATCAAAGCTGCCACCATGAGATGCACCATTCTGTCAGCCAAAGGCAATCCTGGGCACATCCTCCTTCCTGAACCAAATGGAATGAGCTCGAAATCTTGGCCTTTGAAGTCTACTTCACGGTTTAGAAACCGTTCAGGCTCAAATGAGTCTGGATTTAACCAAAGACTTGAATCTCTACCAGTTGCCCATACGTTAACAAGTATTTGTGCATCTTTAGGGATTGTATACCCATTGATTTCTGTATCAACTTCTGCCTTGTGAGGTACTAAAAAGGGGGCAGGAGGATGATACCTAAAGGTTTCTTTGATCACTGATTGCAGATATGGAAGTCTTGAGATGTCCGATTCTTCAACTTGTTTGTTTCGTCCAATGACAGTCCAAAGCTCGTTTCTAGCTTTCGACATTTTCTCAGGATTGCGTATTAATTCAGTCATTATCCATTCCACAGTGCTCGAAGTAGTGTCTGTTCCTGCAATGAATAAATCCTAGTATATGCAAGAAATTAGTGATCTATATTGGCTAACCATTCAAATATAAGTTCACCGAAACATTCACTTCTAAACATATATCCTTTTCTGTATCTTTTTGCCATTTTGTAAACTGAAGAATTTGTAGAAATTAAGTGATTTCATTAAGAGGAAGTAAAGTGGTTCTGTTTAGAAATTTATGCAGTCAGGAAATATGAGTACCCTGAACTTATTTTACTCACCAGAAGTAGGTGTTTTAGAACATCCAAGGTTAATTCGGATTCGCTTGCTTGGCTGTGATTCAGGATGGCTTCTAGTAAATCGTTTCTCACTGGATGATCAAGTGACTCGCTTCTTGACTTCAACCGTTGATTGATCAAATCATCTAATATTACAAATATTCTGCTCATGTAACTCTTGGTTTTGCGCCTAATACCTTGTGGATCAATGAATTCAAGAACAGGGAAGAAGTCCGCAAGATTAGGAAGACCTCCATTTGCCAATAAAACCCTTACAATATTTTTCATTTCTTGAGAAGAATCGGAATTAAATTGAGCGAAATCAGTTGAGAAAAGAGTGGCTGAGATGAGATTAAGTGATGTGATAAACGCAGCTTCACTAATATCAACCACCTGATCGCTGATGCAACAATCATGCACATAGTTACACAATTTCTTCATTTTTTCTTGACGAAGACCCTTGCTTGCATCAAGTCTATGCAACGAAAACATTTGTTCTTTACAAAGTTTACGAAGCTTTCGCCATTGGCTAGACACAGGCAACCAGGCCATAGACTTCTTGAAATGATCATAGGCTGCTGCTGCTGCTGGAATTGTTCGAGAAGAGAAGACTTGGTCATGTTCTTGTAGTACTTGCTTGGCAATATCCGGGGATGAGATGACGATTGAATCTCTGCTCCCCAGCTTTAGATACATAAGAGGACCATAAATTTTGGAAAGTTTGGTTAGTGATTGATGGGGGTTTTCGCCAAGTTGAAGAATGTTACCGATGATCGGAAAGGGGTGAGGCCCCGGAGGTAACCTGCCGGTTCTCCAGCGCCTTAGATTTGATCTCAAGACATGCCAGACTAGAAAAGATAATACTACAAGAAAAATTGTCAGGAACTCCATTGATTTTTTCCTTTGCTTACTGTTGGGAACTAAAAGATAAGACTAGAGTTTTTGGTCTAATGCAAGACTTTTTATATTGAACTGCACCAATTACTCCGCAAGTGGATTTCATTTCATTCACAGGTTTGTCCATCCACGAGAAAAATGAAACCAATAATTGCAACTCCTAAAGTGCTACAAATATATATAATTATTTAAAAAATGATTGGATATGATTTTTAAATCTAACTACTAAAAAATTCGTGAATGCAATAGAAAATGTGTGGAAATTTTGCCCCCGTTTGATCCCCATTAAATTCAATTACATTACATTCCATTTTTCTCTTTCCTATTTTCAACCACATAATCTTCCATAAAATAATTGATGCAACAAGGAAACAATTAAAAGTCAATTCAAGGCGAAAGACTAATAATCAGTAGAATTCTAGTATATCTAAATTATAATAGTTTTATTTTGACAATGTTATCTTTTATTTTCAAGTTTCTTTAGTTAAGAAGTTTATTTAATTTCAAAGTTCTTCTCTATATAAAAGGGCTTAGGGCAATGTTTATATGAATAAGATTATTTCTTTTACCCTCAATTCTTCCTTGTGATTCCCCTTTCTTCTTATTATTCTTTATCAATTTGTGTGTTCCTGCATCAATAATATTACACGTAAATCGAAAATTTTTCCTTCTTTTTCAATCACTTATTTTTCCAAAAAAAAATATTATTCCCCCCCCCCCCCCCCGCCAAATTTCATTTTCAGGTAATGGGGCTCAAACGGGAGCAACAAATGGAGATTATGGCAGAACAACTTCACTTATTGGTCACCTTTACTTCTAATATCGAGATTTATAAAATTAAAGTAGTGTTTTGTCAAATTCTTTTATTGTATTCAACTTACCCATCTCGAGTTCTCGTTGAGCCTATTTAATTAGTTAAATTTCATATCTCTATACAAATTAAATTTAATTAAACGAAATAACAGTTCTAAGAATTCCTATATGACCACAGAAATTAATATAAGTATCTCTACACGTTATATTAATTTCCCGAATTTTAATATGAGGTCTAAACAAAAATTCGCATCTCTACGTAATTATTGTTCACGAAATCATTGAATAATTGGCCAGAAAATTCAAAGTATTAAAAACATAATTAAAATTC